ATAAGGAGTCAAAGTCCGTGAATTAGTATATGTGGAAGGAAAGCCGCTCTGTAAGATCTTGCTCTTGAACAATAACACTAGTAAGTGAATGCTGAGTTGGAAACATCAGCAAATCTATAGTCTTCTCTGGATCTGTTCTATGTATTTGGGCCTTATGGACTTGCTTCTCGATTAGCTGCAGCTCTGCCTCAGCTTCTTTTGTTAATTGCCAAGGGCTTGTGAGACTAGGCTCTCCTCTAAGGATAGAAGACAGATTACTCATGGCATAGCAGGAATGCCTACAGCAGGCCGTATCCGATTACTGTCCCCTAGTAGTTTTTGAAAGTCGTTCAGTGTTTTCAGTTGATCCCTATGTGTGGTTACTTTCTGTGGCACAATAGTAGTGTCATTTACTAAGGTCCCCAAGTAGGAGTAAGGAAGGAGGAGTAGTCTGAATTTTGTCAGGAGCTGTAATTAAACCAGCATAAGACATCGAGTTTTGCAAGTGATTATAACATTAGAGTAATATTTCTTGAATGGGGGCAGCACAAAGAATATCATCTATATAATGAATAATGTAACAATTTACGAGTAGGTTCAATTCCTTGTCCTAAGTAAGTCTGACAAATTGTTGGACTGTTTAACATGCCTCGTGGCAACACTTTTCAATGAAAACGCTTAAAAGGCTACAGGTTGTTGACCGCAGGAATCGTAAATGCAAACCATTCAGAGTCTTTCTCAGCTAAGGGGATAGTAAAGAAACAGTCTTTTAAATCTATGACTATTAAAGGCCAATTTTTTGGAATCGTACCAGGAGAAGGCAGTCCTGGCTGTAATGCCCCGATAGGTTGTATAACTGAATTAATGGCTCTAAGATCTGTCAACAATCTCCATTTACCTGATTTAATAACAAAGACTGGAGAATTCCAGGGGGAAAATGTTGGAGCTCTGTGTTCTTTTTCTAATTGTTCAGTAACTAAGTTCTCTAAAGCCTCCAGTTTCTCTTTACTCAGTGGCCATTGTTCTATCCAAATTGGCTTATCTGTTAACCATTTTAAAGGTATAGGTTCTGGAGGCTTAGCAATGGCTGCCATCAAAAATGGTATCCTAAGCCTTGGCAGGAACTTTTTCTTTCCATTTTAAGCAGTTCCTTCAAATCTTGCAAATGTTTTCCTAGTCCCATACCAGGGACATACCGTATTTCATGCATCATATGTTGACTTGAGGGCTCTGTAATTGTTCTGGAATTAACACTTGTGCTCCCCATTGTTGTAATAAATCTTCTACCATAAATTTATAGGTACAGAAGTTGTAATTGGTTAAATAGTCCCAGGTTGTCCATCAGGCCCTTCACAATGCCAAATGTAACTACTTTGATATACTTCAGGGGCTTTACCAACTCCAACTATGTTAAATTGAGTGGGTTGAATTGGCCACACAGACAGCCAGTGCTGTAGAGAAATGATTGAAATGTCCACTCTTGTATCTACCAATCCTTTAAATTGTTTTCCTTGAATGGTTATTTCACAGGTAGGATGCTTATTGGTAATTTGATTCACCCAATAAGCTGCTTTGCCTTGTTTATTTGTGCTTCCAAATCCTCCTGTTCGTTTAGTTTCTGCTTTCCCTGTTTCCATATGTGGCACAGTCAGGAGCTATGCTGTACGCTCTCCTGGCTCTGCTTTCCAGGGAACAGAAGTAGATATAACAATTTGAATTTCCCCCTTATAATCTGAATCAATGACTCCTGTTTGTACCTGTACCTAGAAGTAATCCTACTGTCCCCCCTGGCAAGGGTCCACAGACTCCTGTTGGCCCCTTTTGTGGGAGTTCCCCAGGCAGAAGGCTCACAGCTTTTGTGCAGCATAAATCTACTGCGGCACTACCTGCTGTGGTGGGGGACAGGCATTGTACAGGGGTGAGGGAGTGGCCTGAGCTGGAAATGCCCCAGTTTGGAATGGGGCCCAGGATGGGCCCCTCATAGCATTTCCTGAAATCGGGTTCACATCTTTATCAAACTTAGAGTGACACTGATTAGCCCAGTGTTTTCCTTTTTTGCATTTTGGACATATTCCAGGCTCAGCAGTTTTCTTTTTACCCCCAACTGGCGGCGTGACTTACTGATTTTTTTGACCTTCTTATGACCGTGTTTCCCACAGTTAAAACAAGCTCCAGGAAACGAAGTATTTCCTTTACCTACTGTTAGTCCTGCAATTGCCTGGGCTAGCAGAATAGCTTTATGCAGATTACCTCCGATACCATCACAAGCTTTAATATACTCAACCAAATGTGCTTTTCCTCTAATAGGTCACAGAGCGGCTTGGCACTCAGGATTGGCATTGTCAAAAACTAATAACTGCAACACTGTATCCTGAGCAGCCGAATCCGCAATCACCTTTTTAAGAGATTCCTGTAACTGAGCTGTAAAATCTGCATAAGATTCTTTCAGTCCCTGTTTGACAGCACTAAAGGAAGGATATTGTTCTCCTCCTGAAGTGATTTTTTTCCCAAGCTCTAATGCACACTCCTCTAAGCTGCTCTATAGCATCATCCTGTATGACCACTTGTGCACCTGAACCAGCCCAGCCGCTGACCCCCAAACTTGGTCTGCAGTTATATTAATTTGAGGTTGGGCCTGGGCATTGTGAGCAGCCTGGATGGAAGTTTCATCTGCCCACCAAGTTTTAAATTTTAAGAACTGAGCAGGAGTCAGACAAGCTCGAGTAAGAGCGTCCCAGTCAGTAGGAATCATCCGACTGGAGACAGCAACATTCTTTAACAGTCCCATTACAAAAGGAGAACCTGGTCCATATTGATTAATAGCTTGTTTAAATTCTTAGAGTAATTTCAAAGGAAAAGGCTCAAATATAGCCATAATGTTCCCCTGTTGATCATCTGGGTGTAATCTAACAGGGAACTGCCAAGCATCCATATAACCCTCTCATCTAGCTTGCTGAATTCCTGCCTGAGAGCAGTCGCTCGAGGCGCTGCTTGGACAGTCACTGGGACAACAACTTTTCACTCAGTGTCCTCCAGAAAAGAAAGATCCGGAGGGTCAGGCCACTCTTTTTCTTCAAAATAATGAGGGGGTGTAGAGGGATAGGGATAAACCTCTCCCTCCTTTGCCACTTTAGCTGGCAAACAAACCTGCTTTGTCATCTCTTCTGTTACTTTGTTGTACTCTCCTTCTTCCTCTGATTCCTCCTCATCATCATCTGTGTGGAAAGGCTGCAAGGTGGAACGAACCAGAACCCACACTGACCAGACAGTTATAGGAATATCCTCAGCACCATCCTTATATGCCTTTTTCAGTGTGCTGCCTACCTTTTCCCAGACCTCTACATTCATAGTCCCTTGGTCCAGAAACCAGGGACAATATTTCTCTACCGCACTAAAAAGCTGCATAAGTTGGCTAGTGCTAACCTTCACTCCTTGTTTTCTGAGGAGCTGCTGAAGCAGACTCAAATAAGCCTTGTGCCTGCTTGACCTTTATCCCATTGTTACCCTGAGACTTCTGAGCTCCCCTTCTTACTTACCGTGGGGATTGCTTAAGAGTACTTGGGTGTCCTCCAGCATAGTTCCGCGTTCTCCAACCATTGCTCCGGCGACCCTTCGACCTGGGTTCGAGCCCCATGTTGGGTGCCACCTACCAAGACCAGCTCGGTCGTGGAGACCCCAACCCAGTGGCGCTAGAGGAATGAAGACAAAGACCCAGAAATAAAGTGCAGTATGGAATCGGCTAACAGCCTTGAGAGCTGAGAGCCACAAACAGAGTTTTACCCACATATTTATTGATAGTAAGCTTGCGATAAACATCGTTTCTATAGATTATAGATTAGCTAAAAGCATTCCTTATGGGAAACAAAGCATTCTTAGTGAGGAGCAGAGAAACAGGCTCTTGCTGATTATCTGCAGCAGGAACATGTCCTTAAGGCACAGATCGCTCAGGCCATCGTTTGTGGTTTAGGAATGCCTTGAGCGGTTTTCCGCCCTGGGTGGGCCAGGTGTTCCTTGCCCTTATTTCATAAACCAGCAACCTCCAGCATGAGTGTGATAGACATCATGAGCATGTCACATTGCTGCAGAAATCCTATTTATGGCCAGTTTCTTTAAGGCCTTTTTATGACAGGCTTAGGGCCTGTTCCCAGAACCCACTAGATTTAGACAACCACTGATCTCCTTTTCTCTGTATGGATTAATTTATACCTTCTAGTCTATTCCTATATAAGTTATAATTGTGTACATATCAATAGTTCATATTTTTTCTTGCTCTGTAGTATGGTATCACATATATGCACCACAATTTATCTGTTCACTTGTTTAGGGACACTGGGTTGACTCCAGTTAATTATTACAAATAAGTCTGCTATGAATATTTGTGTACAAATCTTTCTATGGACTTAAACTTTCATTTCTCTTGGCTGGATACTTAGGAATTGTATGGCTAGATCACATGGTTATCTAATAGAGTCTTGGTGTGGATTCTGAGCCTGGTTTTCTCTTTTTAAACACATAGTTAAAAGGGTTGGATTTTATCAGATCAGCTCTTTGCACTAGAATCTCCTAGGAGTGAGGAGGGTGGGGAGAGGGTTCCAGTCAAACTTCCAAAGCCTGTAGTCCAAGGACTTCCTGGTCTGTTGTGATAGTAGAGACACTCTTTCCTCCAAGGCAGCATCTCTGGGTAGCTGCCCCTCTTCTACCTCTCCAAACCTATGGGGCTTGAAAGGGATTTTATAATCCAACCCTGCACTCCCCCAGGGTGAGCCTTTCTTATCTAGAAGGTTTCTTTAGAAGATGCTGTCTGAGAATTGCCACCTCTGGGCCACTCTAGGCAATTTGCCTGTCTTCTCTTTCCATCTTTGCAGCCCTTGTGCCTGTTCAATCAACAGTTCCCACTTGGGGTTGGGGAAGGTTCTCCTTCATCTGAACATTTCCAGAATCATCTATCACAGGGTTTCTCCTGGCTTTGCAACAGTCTGCCTGCCCTGAGGCTCTGGCCTAATTCTCTGTTGTTCTTGCAGGACTCAGGGCGGTGTTCATGTGCACAAGGATGGGCTGACGGTCACTTCTCCAGTGCTAATGTGGGTCCAGGTAAGCGTAGGGATTCCTGTTCTCCTTCTGTCCCCAGCCTTCTCACTGGCAGACTCGTTGATTTGCTAGGAAGTCCAAAGGTGGCAGCCAATGAGAGCATCTGTTGAGACCAGGTCCTCATGGGAAAGTGGAGTTGGCACGGCTCCTGGGACCAGGCTCAGCCTCAGCTGGTGTCAACACTCCCAGGCTCAGAACTTCCAGGTACTGGAGCCACAGTAGATGGCAAGTCCTGCCATTAACCATCTTTAAAATACCACAGAGCAAATCTTTTCCAAACATCTGCAGTCAGGCCCTGTGGCCTCCCTTGTACCATGAAATACAAACATAGGCTGGGCGTGGTGGCTCACGCCTGTAATCCCAGCACTTTGGGAGACCGAGGCAGGTGGATCACCTGAAGTCAGGAGTTCGAGACCAGCTTGACCAACATGGTGAAACCCCATCTCTACTAAAAATACAAAAGTTACGCCGGGCATGGTGGCACGTCTGTAATCCCTGCTACTCAGGAGGCTGAGACAGGAGAATCACTTGAACCTGGGAGGTAGAGGTTGCAGTGAGCTAAGATTGCACCATTGCACTCCAGCCTGGATAACAAGAGTGAAACTCCATCTCAAAAAAAAAGAAAAAGAAAAAAAGAAATACAAACATAGCTCTTAGGGTCTTAGTGCTCAGCCTCCAAGATCCCTTAGCTCCCTAAGCACTCAGAATGGCAAGTTATGGCCTGGCCAGTCAGACTCATATCAGTCCCAAGCCAGGCCTGCCTCTGAGCATCAACAGGAAAGGAGAATGCCTGTAGCAGGATCTGGTGACCTAGGGGGCCACAGGAGCAGGGATGTGGAAAGCACAGAGAGGCATGGTAGCACCAGGGGCTACCTCATCATATGCTACAGGGTCCCCAAGTCCCTGAAACTGGAGGCCAATTAAGTGTGTGTCTTCCAAAAGCTTTTTTCTGTCCTCCAGTACCTATCTAACCAGTTCCCTATATTAAATTCTTTTTGTTAAAAATAACTAGTATGATTTCTTTTTTATTGGTGTAACCCTGATTCATACACTGGAGAATTGGGGTAAAGGATGGAGTTTTATCCAGACAAACTGGCTAGAATGTACTTCAGAGGGAGCTGAGCCAGACCAAGGGGCAGAGTGGGAGGGTCGGGGGTTAGAGGCAATGGTCAGTGTCAGGAGGTCCCAGTGATGATGGCGAGGGCATCTCATAGGCCAAGGCCTTCACCTGGGGAGGTGAGCAGTGGATGACAGCCAGGCTTGGGGGCGGGGCCAGGGTGATTTCTGATCTGACACAGCCTCCAGGACCAAACTTGATCCTAGCTCTGCCAGCCCCTGTTCCGGCTGCACCCCACTCCTTGCCCAAGGTTTGATGGGCACAGATAGAGATGGCATCCACAGCCAGGGCTGAAAGGAGCCCTCCCAGCAAAGGCTGGGGGTGGTGGAGTCAGGCAAAAGTGAGAGAGTCTTCTCTGCCTTCAGGAAAACACAGGTCAGAGAGAATCTCTAATTCCTGCTGTGAAATCTTAGGAGGATGGTGCAAGCTCTGCTGGGCACCACCATCCATCCCACTCATTGGGTTTTGCTAGAAAGGAGAGTCCAACTAGACAGTAGAGGCTGGAATAGGGGCCTGGAACAGGCGGCCATCATCTCTACCCACTCCCTCCAGCCTCTGGCTCCTGGATACAGGGAGTCTGGGCCTGATGCTCCACTCTCATGGGAGCTCTCTACTTTGCTCTTCACTTCCCTGTTGCAGTAAAGTCAGATCACTAATATAGTGGCTTGAAAATGCAAATAAAAGAAGCCAAAAGTTGGCTGCCTTACTTTGTTTGTTTTTGAGACAAGGTCTCACTGTGTTGCCCAGGCTGGAGTGCAGTGGTGTGATCATGGCTCACTATAGCCTCAATCTCCTGGGCTCAAGTATCCTCCCTCCTCAGCCTCCTGAGTAGCTGGGATTACAGGCTCATGCCACCACACCCAGCTAAATTTTTCATTTTTTTGTAGAGATGGGCTCTCATGATGTTGCCCACACTGGTCTTGAACTCTTGAGCTCAAGCGATCCTCCTGCCTTGGCCTCCAAAAGTGCTGGGATTACTGGTGTGAGGTGATGGCATGCACCTGTAGTTCCAGCCACTCGGGAGGCTGAGATGGAAGGATCACTTGGGCCTGAGAGGTTGAGGCTGCAGTGAGCTAAGATTGCACCACTCCATTTCAGTCTGGGAACCAGAGCAAGACCCTGTCTTGAAAAATAAAAGAGAGGGGGAGTAAAATTTGAGCATTGGTGGTTTATGATTCCATTTATTTAAAATATTTTTAGGATAGTTGACGTTTTTATTTGATTGATGCCTACTTGTTTAATTACTGTACTCTAGTGCTTACAAATCCCAAGTCATGAGTTTTTTCATCATCTGCCCAGAGTCCTCTGCTGTAATGGCAGGCACTTGTGTTTCAATTCTGAGGCTTGCGTGTCTGATTCAGTGGTTCTGTACAGTCATGGTGGGTTCTGTTTTTCTTCTCAGGCACTCGATATCATCTTGGAGAAGATGAAGGCTTCAGGCTTTGACTTTTCTCAAGTCCTAGCCTTGTCCGGGGCAGGCCAGGTTCGTTTGCAGCAGACTCTGTCTGCCATGTGAGGGTGACTGTCCTGGGCAGTGGTGCTGGTGTTGAAGAGATGGCTCCCCTTGGATGGGGAGCGGCTCATTCTTGACAGGCACTGCACAAATTTCACTGTGAATAAAAATCCCTACAACTATTTTACTTTGGAGACTGTGTAACTTGTCTCATTGCAAGAGGATCTGAGACAGTTCTTAGGAGTAAGTGTTATATAAAATAGGACTCTTGGTGAGAGAACTGAGTAGAGGTCCTCTAAAGGGGATGGAGGAAGCAATGGACATGAATTTATTATGACTGCTTGGGGGCACCACAATTGCTTTTCTGTTTCCTGAAAGTAAAAGCAAAGTCAAAAATGATCCTAATAATAATAGTTGTTTCGTAGAAGGAAGAGTATTAATAATGATATCAAAGGATATTGACTGAACACTTAGTGCATGCCAGATACAACTCTGAGGCCTTTCCAGATGCCATCCCACTTAATCCTTACGATTCTACAGGGTGGTGCTGTGGAGTGCTTGGTACACACTCAGGGCATCCTGTCTGGGTTTGATCCCTGGCTCTGCCATTCACAAGCAGTGACCTGGGATGTGTCACCTGGCATTCTGGTGCCCCCGTATTCTCATCTGTCATAGGGTCATTGTGAGTGTAAGTACATAGCACAGTGCCTCCTATTATTACACAGTAAGCATTATTAAAGCTTGGGCTTCTGCTATGATCATTAATATTTCCATGAGGTACAGAGAGGTGATGTCACTTACCCGAGATCACACCGTGCTGGGAGTGGGAGTCAGGACCCAGGTCCATCTCATCCAGTCCCTTCGTTGTGCTAGGATCACTTTTCTCCATGCTAGATTGCCATATTTTCAGATCCTTACTAGGATGTAACTAATTTTTCTGAAGATGCTTCTTCCTCCATGACCTAACAGGAATTTATTGTTTTGGTTCTTGTTAAATACAACAGAGATTCCCTGGGTGATCTTATCTACTTCTGTCTCCCGAATCCCAGGCCTGGACACCCATCTCCCTCCTAGATATTCCCTGACCCCCATAATTGAATATCCCACAAATGCCTCAAACTTAGCATGTCCCAGACTGAGTTCTGTCTCCCTTCAGACCTCCTCCTTTCTGGGTTCTCTTTCTCAGGGAATTCTCCCCATCCACCCAGGGCACAACTCAATTGTCATCCCTGACTCCTCCTCCTTCCCACCCCACATCCAAGGGTCCTCACGTCCCACTGATTTGTCTGTGACTCTTGACTCTACCATGTCTTCTCCAGCACTACTTGCTTGTCATTCTTCTCCAGGTCTCTACTGCAGCCTCCCTGCCTCCAGCCTACCTTCCCCATGACTCCCACAAGCCCTTCATACATTCAGCCCTGTCCATGCCACTCCCCCTGGTAATCCAGGGTTCCCACCACCTCCAAGATAAACCCCAGCCTCCTGAGCATGGTTTCAGGCACTCAGTGCTCAGGCTGTCTCCTTTCTCTTCAGCCCATCACCTACCCCCAACCCAGCCTCAGGCCCACTGCTTAGAATGCCACCCTTCCCGGGACCTGCCTGGTGCCCCTCACCTGCAGATTCTCTGCATGCAACACACACTAGGACCCTTTCCTGATACGACCACTTCCACCCATCTGTACCCGAGCTGGTCAGGTGCCTCTGTTCCCACGGCCCTGTCACTGCAGCTCCATAGGGTTTTGTAATTGTACACTTGTGTCCTTTTCCCTGACTCAACTCCAATAGCCTAAAGAACAGGGACGATAGTATCCTATTCATCTGTCCCAAACCTGGCATGATCTATGTGCTTAATAAATGTTCGTTGAATGAATGAATTAATTAATGAATGGGGTGAGTGAATAAATAAATGAATTTCAGGTAATATTACAAGCAATGTCTTTAAATGCAGTTTTACAAAAGGCATCCAAATCTAGACCAATAATTACTTCTTGGACCTTTTCTATAAGTTGTAGGGTAGACAGGGCAGAGTTCCTCCCCATTTTCTTGAAATGGAAACCAAGTCTCAGGAGGGTGATGAGCTCTGTGACTAAGTGGCAGGGGCAGGTGCGGAGCCCAGTTCTTTGGCATGTGGTCTGGGGTCTTTCTGTGTCTCCAGGAGGCGGTGACACCAGTGTGTGGTCATGTGAACATGTGCTTGGGTTTCCCAACAGCAACACGGAAGTATATACTGGAAGACTGGAGCCCAGCAGGCACTGACAAGCCTATCACCAGACCTCCCGCTACACCAGCAGCTGCAGGTAGCTGTGACTACATTGTATGAGTGTGAGAAACTTCCGCAGAGTCCCACGTCCTGTGGGGCCTCTGAAGCCTGCTCATCTCAGTGTTGCAGCTATGCTCAGGCACCCTCACCAGAAGAGCTTTCAACCTCAGGCTTTTGGGGAGAGACCCCATTGGGCCAGTTCTAGCTTACAGCACAAAGGGCTGTCCCATGTGTCTCCAACCAAGGTCACTTGGGAAGAAGCGTCACGACTGCCGTGATGGGCAGTGTGACCGCCAGCCCTGGGGCAGCTCTCCAAGTCAGCGGATGGAGCTTAAGCCTGTGCCTTTGCCCTCCTTCCCAGGACTGTTTCTCCATCAGCGACTGCCCGGTGTGGATGGACTCCAGTACCACAGCCCAGTGCCGCCAGCTGGAGGCTGCTGTGGGCGGGGCTCAGGCTCTCAGCTGCCTCACGGGGTCCCGTGCCTACGAGGTAGGCTGAGGATGGAGGGGGTGCAGGCGGTGGTCTGGCTGCAGGCTCTGGAGGCATAGTGGGTGACCTGCCTCTGTGGGGATCACATGAGGTTGTGGAGGTGTTGGCCCTGCAGAGCTAGGAACAGGCACTCTGGCCCCTGGGTCCTTATCCAGGCCACCTGCCGCCCTGTGTGTTCCCAGGCCAGGTTGGGTGTGCACATGGCTGTGCTCCTGACACGGAGGTGCTGTGCTTGGGGGTGAGGAGGGCTCCTCCTCTCATTGTCTGTAACCTGGGGATTACAACAGGACTTATGTTTTGGGTAGGTTTGAAGTTGAAAGAAGCCAGTGCATGTAAGGCACTTAGTGCAGTGCCTGGCAAAGTTAAAAAAAAAAAAAAAAGAATGTCTCTGTTCCACTGGTTCAGCGATGTCCCCAGGGCTGATTGTGATAAGTTTTGGGGATAGGGCCAACCCTACTTGGGCCACCTGAAATAACAACATGTGGATGGGGAAAATACCCTGATCCCCCCTCTGGTGCCTTGGTCAGAACAGTCACCATGCTGTGTGAAGAGCAAGGGTCATTTACTCAGTGTTGTCTGGTCCTGATGTGGGAGAGGCCCTCCAGGAAGGCCCGAAAGTTACTCACTTCTCTATCCTGTGGGTGCAGAGCTGTTGTTTACTGCCTGAATATTTGATTACTAAGGATGTTTTAAGGATTTCAAGGCCCAAATCACATTGTTCAGTAGATATCAAACAGATTTAATGCTGATTTTAAAAATATTTTATTTATTAGAGATGGGGTCTCACTGTGTTGCCCAGCCTGGACTCCTGGGCTCCAGAGCTCCTCCCACTTCGGCCTCTTGAGTAGCTGGGATTACAAGCACACAGCACCACGGCCGGTTGGGGCTTACTTTTAAAAGCTTTCATGGTACCTACTCCTATACAGAGCTTGCTACAGTAAACTCACTTTATGGAGGTGATTATTCATTCTGTGTAGGATTTGGGTTCCTAAGAATTTATATTTCTTTTCCAGCGTTTTACAGGAAACCAAATTGCAAAAATTTACCAGCAGAACCCCGAGGCCTACTCACACACGGAGGTTGGTTAAATGTTCCTGTTTGATTGAAAGTCAAGGTTGAATTCTTTTCATAATACATTAGAATAGATACATCTCATGTGCAGTGACTGAAAACATTGATAAGCAGACATTAACAAATGATATATTCGATTTGTTTTTTTCTCATTGTCAGGACATTTTCAAAGAGGAGGGGAAGAATGGAATGTGGGAAAGAGAAGTCAGGGGTTCTCCTGACCAGAAGGGTGAGGGTGAGGGTCCAGGTGGGAGCACTGAGGACTGACATGTTCCCGAGACCACCTGAGTAGAAGATCTGGGTGTCTGAGCAGGCTGTGTCTGCTCACTTTCCTATGTGGTTAACACAGGAGGACTACCAGGCACATGGTTGGCGTGGAGTCAGTGTTTTCTTTGGAAATGTGTAGGACTAGGCCTTTGTGTCCCCAGCTGTGGCCCTTCAGGAACCCAGGTTCATTCCTGGCTCCACAGTTGCTGAAGCCAGCGCTTGTTGCTGCCTGAGAAACAGCCCCACACCCCAGCTAGTGATTTTCATCTTGTGATAAGGAAACGATCAGCTCACGTTAAACCAAAGCGCCTTTTTAATCTTAGAAATTAACATGTGGTGTATTATTTAATGATTCAAGGTTCCAGATGACTCGGCAGCATTAGCCATTAATGTAGGCTTTGGGTGGAGTGGTGAAAACCCTCCCTAAATTCTGCGTGTGGAACGAAGTTGGCCTGACAGAGGACAGGGGATGATAACATTCTCTCCACAGTTCCAAAGGCCCGTGATTCTCATGCGGAAGTACAGACCCTCAGGATGGCATTGAAAATCCATCATTTATTTCTCTGGCTACTGCTCAGAGTCTGTGGCTTCTGAGGAGCCAGCTTTCCTGAAGCCCTGAGAGTGTCCTGGTTAGTTCTGAGGCCACACAGCCACTTCCCTTGTGAGCAGAAGTAAATGCCAAGGAAATAGAGGAAGGAAATCAGGGCACACATTCCCCAGCATGTGGATTCTGGATGGAAAGGCAGCTTCCCTAAGCCCTTTCTCATAGGGCTTTTGGCTTTTGTCTCTTTTGACCTTGGCAGTTTTATGGCCCATCAGAAACTGTAGAGAATGAATGCTCTCCCAAGGAGTCTGCTCATGGTATTCCAGCAGCTCCTATCGGAGATGCACAGTCTCCACCATTATTTGGGCCTTTTGCTCAAAGTTTCCACTTCCGTCTCCAATTTTTTTTCGTGCTGTGTGTGTGTCAGAAGCGTTCAGTAGCATAGGGTGTGTGGAAGTGAGGCACCTCTCACTGTTTCTTTCCTTTACAGAGAATTTCTTTGGTCAGTAGCTTTGCTGCTTCCCTGTTCCTTGGCTCTTACTCCCCTATTGACTACAGCGACGGTGAGCCTCGGGGCATGGGGTGGGTGCCTGGGCAGCCTGCATGTGGCATGTGGGTGTGCAGGCAATGGGAGCCCCATCTACCCTGAGTGGGTGCCAATCTTGTAGCCCGGTCATCTATTGCCAGGAAGGAAGTGTATTCATTATCTTTTGCCACTTAACAAATGACCCCAACACTTAGCAGCTGAAGACCACCATGTTTATTTTCTCACCTAGGGTCTGAGAGTCAGGAATGTGGGGGCAGCTTAGCTGGGAGGTACTGGCTTAGGATCTCCCACAAGGTGGCAGTCAGGCTGGCAGCCGGGACTGAAGTCATCTTCAGGGTTGACTGGGGCTAGAGGATCCGTTTCCAGCATCATGCACAGGACTACAGGCAAGAGGCCGCAGTTCCTCACATGTGGACCTCTTTATGGGGCCATTAGTGACATTGCAGAGAGGGAGGGAGGAGACAGAGGCCAAGCAGAAGCCGAGCAGTCTTTTATACCCTAATCTTGAAGTGATGTGCCATCACTTTTGTCTCATCTTACTGGTCACACACTAGGTACAGCTGACCCAGTATAATGTTGGGGGGAACCTCACAAGGGGTGAAGACCAGGAGGTTGGGATCAGCAGGGGCAGTCATGGAGCCTGGCTCCTGCAAGGAGCTATTAAAGTTTTTGTTTCACATTTGGTGAACTCATGAGATTTATGAGCTTCTAGAATCAAAACGCTAAAAAAAATAAATTGCGGATGATGCCAGTGAGGAGGGAAAGCTGGGAGAAGGTTGCTGCGGGAACTCTTGGATGAGCCTAAGAGTGAGAAGAGTGTGGACAGAATGGGGGTGGAGAATACAGGGCAGGAGCCCAGAGCCGTGGGCGTGGCTTCAGAATGGAGCCCGGGATGCTCTGGGCCTCGTGGGAGTTCATGGGAAGGTTTTGAGGGCTGTTGTGTGCCAGGCTTTATTCTGGTTTCAGGAAAGAGAGTGACTAAGGAGTGCTGTTAAGCTTCCCTCACAATCTGAAGGAGGCAGCAGGACTCCCTACAGCTAGCTCTGTAGAACTCAGACAGGCAGAACAGTCAACTTGGAGTAGCCTGCATGTCCACCCGTGTTCTGCACTCCTGCCACAGGGCTGATGACCGCAGCAGCTGCTGCGGGGGGCATTCCGGAGGTTTATGTTCCTCAGCCACAGCTGGGCCCTCCACTCTGCTCCCCTTCACTCACCTGAGATGGCATCTCCTAATTTCACCTGGGCAGGTGACACCATCAGCATCCCAGCCCACCTCTGTCTGCCTCCACACTGGCCCAGTGGAGGAGGAGGTCTCTCCACCCACGCTCTGGGTTCCCTGTCCTTTCCCATCCTCAGGGAAGCCTTGGGAGGAGGATGTTTTAGGAAGGAGCTAATAGGTTGATCTCAGTGACCAGGAGGAATTTTAGAGGACTCTGAGACCTCTCCTTGAAAGGTCAGATGAGATTGAGAAATCCCTGGGGGCTGACCTGGAAACCTAAGGGACATAGAGAGTAGTTACTGGTCAGTGTGTTGCTGCTAGTTCCAGGCCCCCGGGAGGTGTCTGAGCAGCAGATTTCCAAGCTAACTGTAGTGTTTGAGTTGATGAGGAATATTTGGAGGAGGTGTGGTGCCATGTGTTTCCAAGGGCCCCTAGGGCCTCTGGTTCTCTGGTTCCAGAACAACACAAGCATACATACCTTCCATGAAGAAAGAGCTCCAGTACAAGTTGCGTCAAGAGAATTATCTACTGTTTGCCAGATTTGTGCATTTTCACAAAAGGTCCGTTTTCGAGATATGTCTGTTGTTTGTTTCTTTCCTTCCTCAGGTTCTGGAATGAATTTGTTGCAGATACAGGATAAAGTCTGGTCCCAGACTTGCCTTGGTGCCTGTGCACCTCATTTAGAGGAGAAGCTTGGCCCACCAGTACCATCATGCTCAGTTGTGGTAGGTCTCCTTTCTGGCAATGTGGCTCTTTTAAGAGCTGGCAGCTACCAGGGAAGCACTGTAGCGCGCGCGCACACACACACACACACACACACAGACACACACACGCACACGCTGCACACTCCCTTGTTCATTCATCCACAGGCATACACATGCAGGGTCTTCAGTTTAGCCTAAGATGTAAGTCAGTGTCTGGATCAGTACCTTGCACATAGTAGGTGCTCAGGTACATGCCTTATGGTCGGCAGGACTTTGGAAAATTACACTAGGAATTTATTAGAATAGGGATAAAAATGGCAGGTGATTGCATAGCTAAAGAAAAAAATGCACAGACTGCTGAAATTCTAGGGACTGCTGATGAAGCTTGAAGGAGGCAGCCTTGGGGAAAATAGAAAGAAATACCAGCGGGGCTGGCACAGCACAGGCCCTGGCACTGGACAGCCTGGGACTGAATCCTGGTTCTACCAGCTTTGTGACTTTGTGTCTCAGTTTCCTCATCTGGAACAAGGGGAATGATGCTGTTCATCTTACAGGGCTGTTGTGCAAATTAGATGAGTTAATATGTTTAAAGCACTTAAAATAGTGCCTGGTCCCACGGGTAATGGGAAAAACATTTACCCATCACGGCGGCCCCACCCGTTTGCAGTGGACACCGGCTGTGAATGCGCTGGTGTGTCCTAGTTGGCCAGCCCTGTTCTCCATTGTCCTGTGGGCACAATGGAGTAGAGAGAGAGAGAGATGTGGGTCCTGCCTCTGGGGCCCTTTGGTGGGAAATGCTTACCACAGAGCCAGAACAACCAGAAGGAACTCTGGGTGGGAGAGAATGTTGGTGTGAACAAGGGACAAGGGCACTCTGAGGCCTGGAGGGAGTCGTATAACTGGGAGTCTTGGGCCATGTGGAGGAGGGGCTGCTGTGAGGACTTCTCATTGGGAGTCTCAGCCACAGAAGCACTTTTGTTGTCTTTTCAGAGACACAGTCTCACCTTGTCACCCAAGTTGGAGTGCAGTGGCATGATCATAGCTCACTGCAGCCACCAACTCCTGGGCTCAAGTGATCCCTCTGCCTCAGCTTCCTGAGTAGCTGGCACCACAGGCGTGCACCACCATGCACAGCTAATTTTTTTTTTATTTTGGTAGTGACAGGGTCTCACTATGTTGCTCAGATTGGGCAATTCTCCTGCCTCAGTCTCCCAAAGTGCTGGGATCACAGGTGTGAACCACTGCACACACTTGTATGCTTCACACTGACATGCTGAAAACAGCCTCTGCCACCATGAGGCAGAACATCAAAGCCAAACCATCAGCATCTAAAGTATGCCATGAGGCCAGTGCATGGAGCTGAAGGAAGAGCCATGTGGCCCTGTGGAAGCTGACAGTGCAGAACCCAGACAGACTGACGCCGGTCAGAAAGGCAGAGAAAGGGCAGACAGAAAACAGCCAAGCCATTGGGACTGATAATCCACACGTGGCTTTTAGTTGGATGTGAAATTCAGAGCAGGCTTTGTTTGCCTTATGAGAGAACCCTTGCCTCCAAGCAGGAGCCTGGGCAGACAAGCAGCTTGAGGATCGGGAAAGAACTGACTCTGAAAAGGCATTTTCATTTGTCACATCGGTGTCACGTGTGGGGGAACCAAGCAGGACCCATGTTTTTCATCATCCCTCTTTTTGCAGGTAGTGCTCAGATAGCCCTCCCTGCACACTGTCTTTTTTGGATTACTTTCCTTAGAACATTGTTCTCTGCACTTTCACGTCCAATTATTGTTTATCCAGTCGCTAGGGTGATAGAGCGAGTGTGCGAGGCATTATCTGCTCCCATGAGTTTGCTTACTGGCGTCCTGTTACCCTTTTTTTTTTTTTTTTTTTTTTTTTAAAATGCTGTATCAAGAATTTGGAGCTTATAAAGCAAGCACTAGTTAGGGGTTGATTTGTTCTCTCTACCTGAAATCTCAAGATCGGCAGTTTTTGAGATGACCTCATGCTCGTGGTTCCAAATCTGCACTGGACTTCTCTGGTGATTTGTGAACAGGAGGGACACGCCCAGTTTGTGACAGGGAGTGGTGTGACTCCAGGCTCTGCAAAACATTCCTTCAGCTCTGGTGACCTGGAGCCTGTAGCATTTTCGTGGCCTGAAGGGTGGGTGGCTGTGCTGGGCGGGCAGGATTTACCTCAACAGAGCACCTTTGCTTTATCCCCGTCCCTCAGGGAGCCATTTCTTCCTATTACATCCAGCGCTACGGATTTCCTCCAGGATGCAAAGTGGTGGCCTTCACTGGGGACAACCCAGGTGAGTATCTCAGGGAGTTTCACTGTCCGATGAGCCTGACTGGGTCCATGCTGGACTTTTGAGAATTCCAGTCCAGCCTCTTGGTGAAGCCTTCTGTGGTCATTCCCCACCACCCCCACCCTGCGATCTGACTCCTTGTACCTGCCCCATCTCAGCTCCAACTCTGCCCTCAGGAGCTGGTCAGTCTGCTCTCTCTGGATGAAAACTGCTCAATGATTAAGGAAGGCAGTCTTGCCCACCCCATCCCTAACCTGTCTTTTCTGTTCCAAGATGAATAGCTCAATTCCTCCAACCCTTCCTCTAGGACATGGTTTTAAGTCTCTGCCCTGTCATCTGATCTGCAGCAATGACTTGTTTCTCGTCCAGACACCTCATCTCCTTCCCTAGCCTCTTCTCTTCTTCCTCCTCTCCTCTGGTAGTCCTGAAGCCACTCCTGGAGGGGCCCTCGGATCTCTGAAGGCAGGCCAGGTGGGCTGCAGTAAACAACACCCTGACTACTACCCCTCAGCCCCACCCCAGGAAAAGCCTTTTTCTAACGATCCACCAGATTAGGGTTACATTTAATTCTAACTAGAAAGGTTAATTTTAACCCTAATTAGAAAGGTTACTTTCTGTCCTTTCAGTCTTCTTTCTGTGCTCATAAATAAGCATTGTTTTGTTTTTTTTTTTAATCAACCTAGGCAGTATCTTTCTCATTTTAACAGTTGTCTAGAGCTCAATTGTCCCAGCATTTATTTCACCAGTCCCTTATGGATGGAGGGTGGTGTTGCTTCAGTGTTTGGCAGTGCAAACGATGTTGAGATGCACATTCGGTCTCATCTCTTCGTTGTTACAGGATAAGTTCTCAAAGGTGGGATTCCTGGATCCAAGGCTTCTGACACACACACTGCTGATTGAACCTCAGTGGCAGTGTTTGAGTGCACCTGTTCCTCACTCCCATTTCACCTTTACTCACATGTTCATTCACTCGGCATTTAGTGAGTGCCTATTATGTGTCAGGCCTTCCTTCAGCGCTGGGGCACTTCAGCAATCAAGGCAGATAAAGATTACTGTTGTGAGCCAGGTGTGGTAGTGTGCACCTGTAGTCTTAGCTACTTGGCAGGCTGAGGTTGGGAGGATTGCATGATCACGGAGTTCGAGGCTGCAGTGAGCTATAATCATGCCACTGCACTCCAGCCTGGGTGACAGAGTGAGACCCCACCTCTGTATCTCCAAAAAAAAAAAAAAAAAAAAAAAAAAAAGAAAAGACTGCTGTTGTGGGCCTTGTGTCTAAGGCAGGGCACAGACAGTGAACATAACCTCACCCCCTTCTTTTCCATTACTGCCTGTGTTTTTCTCTGCTGTGTATCCTTGGTGTCTTGTCTTGGCCTCCTTGATTCTCTGCACTCCTGGGAGTGCCTGACAGTGGAGGGATGTTTGGACCCCTTCAGGGAAGAGACTTCACAGCTCAAATCAGAGGCCCTGCTAACAGAGACTTCACCCCCGACCCCTATGACCTTCTCCTCTTAGGGCCTCCTGAGAGCTCAGCTCCCCCTGCTCCTGCCTCCACCCTAGGGTGTGGGTGGGGGTTGGAGGTGGGGGCTGTGCGCCTGCCTGGAGAGCCCTGTGGTTTGCTTTGTGGTTCCCACGTGGCCACCAGCTAACCAGAAGCTCCCCTCCCATTCTCAGCGTCGCTGGCAGGCATGAGACTGGAGGAAGGTGACATTGCGGTAAGGTGACTTCCCACACCCATAGGCTCTTTCTGTTTCCACACTCACACCCACACTCTGATAAGTAGCAGAGATACTGCTGGGACCCAGACCCTGAAGGACCAGGATCTGGGTCCCTGTATGTCAGAGTGTCTGCCAGTTCTAGAAGACAGTGGAGGGAGGGGATGGGAGCGCACATCTTTCTCAGAAAGTCATTGTTCTTTGCTAGATGGGCAAGACCCCTGCCTGCTTCACAGTGGCCAGTCTTAGTGCGTGCAGTGGCAGAGGGTCAGACCTGGGGCCAAAGGGCTGTGAGCAGCCCAGATGAATAAGGAAGACATAACCCAGGCCTTCCTGCTTCTAGTGGGAAAGTCATGTGGGGAACCAGCCATCACCCAAACCATTATTTAGAGGCAGTTGTGGGAAATCAGCACAGAAGATCCATGAAATCTGCATCTGGGGAACTAACTCCTGGCTCATCTGGTGTGGGAGGGTCAGAAGTGGCTCTGAGAAAGTGGCCTTGCATCTGAGGTCTGCAGTGGGAGTAAAGTGACAGGGTTAAGGTGGGTGGAGTACAGCGCGTCGCTGGCAGAGGGCAGTGTGTGTGGGCAAAGCCCAAGGCACCCCACCTCTGCCCATCTCTCCCCAGGTCAGCCTGGGCACCAGTGACACCCTGTTTCTCTGGCTCCAAGAACCCATGCCTGCCCTGGAAGGCCACATCTTCTGCAACCCGGTTGACTCCCAGCACTACATGGCACTCCTGTGGTGAGCCTGGGTGTTGGTTGGCACCATTCCCTGGGTGAGGAGATGTGGGCAGATCTGGCACCATCTTGAGGACCCCAAGTCATTCCACTAAGCTCTAGAATGACTCCCTCCACTTTCCCAGGCTCTGCTGGGCAACTGAGACCCCCAAGGACTCACCGACTCTTGCTGACAGCAGAGCTGGGTGGGGAATAACCCAAGACCCTGAGTCCCTCAAGCCCGGGTTCAAATCCTATCCTCACCACCTATATCCTGTGTGACCTTGGGCAAACTCCGTAGTGTCGCATGTCTGAGCCACACTTTCCTCATGAGATGGGGAGGGCAAGAGCATTTACCGCACATTGTTGCTGTGACCTGTCCGGCATGTGGTGGACCCTCATAGTGGAAAGGACATCCTTCTTCCCAGCAGCTCTCATGGAAGGGACATGCTCTGTGCTCTGACCACAGGCCTTTGGAGACCTGTCCAGAGCTCCTGAGGGAAATGGTTTCTGAGCTCCTAAGCCCTGAGAAGCGTTGGAGAATGTGGCTAGTTAATCTAGCCCGCCCTGCCTCATTGTGACCATGGTAGAATGTGCAGAAACTGGAGCTCCCTGTCTCTACCGGGAGCTGCTCTGTGTCAGTCTCCTGTGTAAACAGCCTAAGATAAGGGCATTTCCGGTGCCTCCCAGGGACGTTCAGGGGCCTGGAATCTGAGGAAGCGCCTCTGATACCTAAGTTTCAGAGCCTGCTGTGCACTGACTAGGGCTTGTGGTCCAGCCTGACCTGCAGTTCCTCTGCCTGGGTCTCTTTACTGAAACTCACGGGTCCAGCGGGCAAGCACTGGCTCCCTTCCTCAGAGCTATACCCTCTTCTGCAGCTTTAAAAATGGCTCCCTCATGAGAGAGAAGATCCGCGACAAGTCCGCGTCCCGTTCCTGGAGCAAGTTCTCTAAGGCACTGCAGTCCACAGAGATGGGCAACGGTGGAAACCTGGGTAGGCCAGTTGGTGATGCCCAAGCCTGTGAAGGGTCAGCAGCTGCCGGCTGGAGGGGCAGGGCCTGGGGCCCCATGAACTGGGGGAGAGGAGGGCCATGGAGAAGTCCAGGGAAGCACTGTCTATCTGCACTTCTATTCCACAGATCCTACAAGCTGGTGTGGAACCCTGTGTTCTGAGCGAGGGTGGGCCTGTAAGGCTGTCCTTGGCTTCTGCTCTGAGCAGAAGATCAGGCCATAGCTACATCTTCTGTCCCCACCAAGCCCCTGGTGACAGCATCAGAGAGGGCAGCCTCTACGCTGGTGTATCCCCGTTCACAGTCCTCTGCCCCAGGCACAAGGAAAAGTGCCCAGTGTCTCGGAAGGCCTGAGCAGGGAGGGGCTGTGCCTCCCTTGGTCAAACGTGTGTTGGTATTTTAGGATTGACTGGGCAGCTGCTTCCTGTTCAAGGCTGCCAAGTGAGAGCAGGAAGAGTTGTCTCTGAGAAAAGCTAGCTCAGGGCTCCCTGGTTCCCTTCTATCCTGTTGGAGAGAAGAACTGAGAATATTCGCAGGTCTCATCTGGGGGATGAAAGAGAGCCAGGGGACCCGGGGATATGGGGTCATTTTGCCCTGTTCTACGTCTGTTGAGAGGCCGGTCTTTTGTTTTTTGACTAATGACAGCTGATGTCTTCCTGGTTTTATGTCAGGTTTTTATTTTGATGTAATGGAGATCACCCCTGAAATTATTGGATGTCATAGGTTTAACGCAGAAAACCACAAGGTACGTGTGCTGTTGGTATTGGAGTTACACTGGCTCCATTTGTGAGTGTAAAATTTAACAATTGCCTATGAAATTGTGTGACTTTTACGGACTTCATTCATTCACTCATCCACTGATATCATACACACTTGTGATGTGCCAGCGTGCATTCTAGATCCTGGGGAATCTGCAGGACACGGTCCTTTCCCTCAGGGAGGAATATGCAGAAAACCTGAGCGTTCTCTTCCAATTTAGCAAATGCTAACACTATCATTGAGTGTCACAGAGCTTATTTCCTTGGCGAGTTTTATCCTGTATCCATCAAGAACCCATGGATCTTGAGATCATTAATTTCCTCGTGGTTGAAAGAGCCACTGAGCCCGGGAGGTTCTAACGTTTATTGAGCCCATTTGGTGCCAGGCATTGTGCTCATGGTTTTCTATATCTTCCTCATTTACTTTTCTTTTATTTTTTATTTTTTTATTTTTTTGAGTTGGAGTCTTACTCTGTTGCCCAGGCTCGAGTGCAGTGGGACGATCTTGGCTCACTGCAACCCCTGCTTTCTGGGTTCAAACGATCCTCCTGCCTCAGCCTCCTGAGTAGCTGGGATTACAGACCCAAGCCACCACGCCCAGCTAAGTTTTGTATTTTTAGTAGAGAGGGATTTCTCCATGTTGGCCAGGCTGGTCTTGAACTCCTGACCTCAAGTGATACGCCCCCTCCCAAAATGCTGGGATTATAGGTGTGAGCCACCATGCCCGGCTATCATTTACTTTTCAAAGCAATAGGCACTATTGTTCCTCTTTCTAGATGGAGAGGTTGAGACTCAGAGGCTCAGGCTAAATAATCTGCCCAGAGTCACAGGTCATAGGTGGTGGAGGGGGCTCAAATCCAGTCCTCTCTGGCTCTGAAGCTGCTGTTTTCTTTCTCCTCCACAATGTGACCTTTCCCAGAAAGGATTTAGTTGGTTCTTGCTGCTCGAAATTGACATTGCTGTTAGATAGTCACTGGAGAGTCATCACCACATTTTGGGTTATACCTGAGAGATGTTTCTGACCCCAGTAAATGGGGAGTTTATGTAAGACCCTCTGTCTGGAAACTGTAACTGTCCGAGCTGGCATTGGATTCAATGGCAGATGATGGCACTACATGTTGGATTATGAATGGAAAGCTTTGTATAAAGTAGGAAGTTCATTTCAATCTTCTGATGGAGAATCAGTTTGGTTTCTTTTATTAGAGCGAGAAGTTATGCCTGTTCTCTTTCATGCATATCAATCCTAGATTTGTCAAGGAGAAAGTAGTGTTCTTCATTCATTCATTCAACCAACAGATATGTATGATTGGTGCCAGGCACCCGGGACACAAAGGAGAACAAGACATCGGTGGCCTTTGCTCTCTAGAGCCTGCTGTCTAGGAGGGAGAGGGACAGTAGATGAGTGAATGAGCACGTACATGAATGCAGCAGGTGCTAAGCCTGGGAAGCAGAACAGAGTGCTGCAAGGGAAAGCAGCTGGTGGGTGGGCTGGAGACTTACCCTGGGTGGGGTGATCGGGTCTGGGCCTCTCTGAGAAGGTGGCCTTTAGGTTGAGACCTGAAAGTACTCAGGATCTCACCATGGAAAGAGTAGGATAGACTTCCAGGCAGAGGGAGCAGCTTGGGAACTAGAAGAAGGTAGGTAACGTTAGAGTGTAGCTGTTCATGAGGGGGATGGCGGCAGGTTCTAGCATTGGTCTCAGGTGCCAGAGAAGCAGGGGTGAGCCTGGGGTTGATTCCCATCAGTGCTAGCTTGAAGGACATGCCACAGGGGTGGGATCTTAGCATAAGCTCGTGGCTGTCACTTATCTAGTATGTACTGCATTTTCCAGGCTCTGTTGTCTAACCTGATCATTGCAACAACCCTAAAAAACAGGCACCACTATTATCTTCGTTTTGTTAAGAAAAAGAATGATAGCAAGACTAATGTAACTTATTAAAGATTGCAGAGCTGAATGGTAGACAGAACTTGAACTCTCAGCTGCCTGAGACTAAATTCTGTAATGTCTCTGACTCTTCAAAGTGACATGCATGTGAGGCTGTGGGCCTGTGTGCTTCAGTAGTGTGTTTGTGTGAGTGTGTGTGACAGGCAAAGATAGTGGTTAAAGAGCCCAGCTATGAGTTTCAAATCTGGGCTGTTGTTTAAAAAGATCACACACAGACACACACAGACACAGACACACACACACACACACACACGAATGGACAATGAGAGTTCCTTACTCTGTGCCCACCTTTTCCTGGAGACAGGTCGCAGCATTCCCTGGGGATGTGGAGGTTCGAGCACTGATTGAAGGACAATTCATGGCCAAGAGGATTCACGCAGAAGGCTTGGGCTATCGAATCAGTAAGTGAGCCACTGGCAGCATGTGTCCCGGGGTGGGGGCTCAGGGCCAGCTCACCCCTGGGGGGCCAGGGCTAGTGAGTCAATGTCTACTAAAGTTTTCTTTCAGGGGGCCTTGTGCAGGAGGAAGGTGGACCTGACCTTGGGGATGGGGTGAGAAAGTATGTCAATTGGCACTTGTAGGCAGGCATAGAATAGCAGGTAGGCTGTTCCTGCTTCTCAGCTGTGTCCACAATAGCCTGACCTTTTGACCAGGACCTGTAGGGCCTGGGAAAGGTCTTTCTGTAACCCTAAGCTCCAAGCTGCAGATGAGCTGTCTTGAGCTCTGGACTCCAAAGACATAGGCAGTGCAAGGTCTGGGGACATGAGTGGATCTTGTCCTTCTAGCCTAGCCAGGTCCCGTTGCCTGTGGGACACAGTCTGCATCTTTCAACTTGGACAGGGAAGAGGGGGATGTAGTAGCACTGTCAAAACTCAGAAGACTGATATCTCAGTTCATTTTCTGTTGCCTATAACAGAATACCTGATCCTGGGTAATTTATAAGGAAAAGGAATTTATTTCTTACAATTATGGAGGCTGAGAAGTCCAAGGTTGAGGGATCATATCTGATGAGGGCTTGCTTGCTAGTAGGGCTCTCTGCAGAGTCCCGAGGAGGTAGAGGGCATCACATGGTGAGGGAGCTGAGTGTGCTAGCTCAGGTCTCCCTTCCTCTTCTCAGAAAGCCACCAGTCCCATTCCCACGATAACCCGTTAATCCATTAACCTGTTAATCTGTTAACCCATGAATGGATTAATCCACTCATAAAGCCCTCATAACCCAATCTCCTTAAAGGCCCCATCTTTCAATATGTGATGTTGGGGGTAAAGCTTCAACATGAGTTTTGGAGGGGACACATACTCAAACCATAGCAACTGGCGTGGAGAGGGCAGACCCGGGGCTGGGGGAGACAAAAGGAGGAGAAAGGGATTTCTGAGAACTTGAGCTGTAGAATAATCAGCTTTAGGGGGTCAGTGAGTTCCCTTTACAGGCGGCGTTGAAATGGTCTAGGGCTCTGTAAGGAGGTTGGACTGGCTGCCTATAAAGTCCAGGTTTCTAAGATGTATTTGTCCCTCTGGGCTATAGCTGTTGTCACTAGAGAAGAGAGTGAAGCTGCTTTGCTTGAGGGCCTTCCTATGACACTTTATGGACAATCCGAGTTCTATGTAACATATATTTTATACCTTTGAATTGACAGAGTAAAATGATACTATAAAAATACCCATTAGGGAAACCTCCTGGAAAGCCTATTAGACAGCATCTACTAAAGCTGAATAAATGCCTAGCCAGCAATCTCACTTCTAAGTAAAGGCACAACAGGAATTTGTGCATGTGTTTACTAAAGATGTACAGGAGAACATTCATGGCAGCACTATGCTGAATAGCCCCACAGTGGAAGTGGCCCAGTACCCATTAACAGTAGACAGGAAAAATGCATGGTGGTGCATTTGTACAACAGGATACTACACACAAATGAAAATGAACCAGCCTCAGTGATACACAATGAAATGGGTGAATCTCACCAAATGTAACACTGAGCAAAAGAAGCCAAACACGGACATACATATGGCAGGGTTCTCTGTACATCAAGTTCAAAAGCAGATGAAACTACAGGCCAGGCACAGTGGCTCACACCTGTAATCCCAGCATTTTGGGAGGCCAAGGCAGGTAGATCACTTGAGTCCAGGAGTTCGAGACCAGACTGGGCAACATGGTGAAACCCCATCTGTACAAAAAAATACAAAAATTAGCCAGGCGTGGTGGGCCATGCCTGTAGTCCTGGCTACTCAGGAGACTGAGGTGGGAGGATCGCTTAAGCCTAGGAGGTTGAGGCTGTAATGAGCCATGAGACCCTGTCTCAAAAAAAAAATTTAAAAAGCAGACAAAACTATTTACTGTTATTGGAAGTTGGGATAATTAGTAGTTGCCCTTCAGAAGGGGCCTGTGGGGTGCTGGTGATGTTCTGTTTCATGTTCCATGGGTGTGTTTAGTTTGTAAACATTTATGAAGATTATAGGCTTATGATGTGTGCATTTTTCAGGATGTGTGTTCTAGGTCAATACAATATTTTAAAATATGTAAAATTACCACCATGAGCATTCTGAATACCCTCATCCCACCACCCTAAGTGTACAAAGACATTTCCCAAAGGTCTGCAAAGACTTCCAAGTTCCCTGAAAATGAGACTGGGTGAGCAGGGCAGGGATGGTGCTGGAGTTGGTGGAGTGCCTGGCAGGGGTCCTCTGGCTCTGAGAAGGGGACCCCAGGGAAGGGAACAGCCCAGCATACAGGGAGAAGCAGTTAGGGTAGAAGGCCTCCATGGGCTCAGGAGGAGCTGATGGGATTGTGGCATTAATCCCAGCCTCTAAAGCATTTCTTATGCAAAACAGCATAGAGGTACTTATCCTCTTAGCAAAAGCTTAAATGCAGAATCAGACCTGTCTTGCCGATCTGCTGAGTGATCACTGAAATAGACATACTTGGAACCAACAGAGGTTGCACACACGCGAGGACTCATTCTCCAGGCCGCCATGTGGACTGGCCAGCTCTAGTTTTCGTTCTTGCCCAGTCATCATCTCATTTAGTTTTAATAGTGTCTAAGAGGAATAAAGAGGCACTTTGAATAAAAATGATTATTGTGATACGAACAGCTGCCAGCATTTGCTGGGCACTGTGTGCCCGGCCCAGTTCCTTAGCAATTAATCTTTTTTTTTTCTTTTTGAGATGGAGTCTCGCTCTGTCGCCCAGGCTGGAGTGCAGTGGTGCAATACCTGCTCACTGCAAGCTCCGCCTCCCAGGTTCACGCCATTCTCCTGCCTCAGCCTCCCAAGTAGCTGGGACTACAGGGGCCGCCACCACACCCAGCTAATTTTTTGTATTTTTAGTAGAGACGGGGTTTCGCTGTGTTAGCCAGGATGGTCTCGATCTCCTGATCTTGGGATCTGCCCACCTCGATCTCCCAAAGTGCTGGGATTACAGGCGTAAAACACAGCACCTGGCCAGCAATTAATCTTTATTAACAACAGTACCTCTGAAGTAGGTACTGATATGATTCCCACTTCACAATCAAGGAAACCAAATCTTGCAGTGGTTAAATAACTTGGTCAGGACTGGCAGAGCTGGGATCTCAACCAAGCCATTCTGGCTCCAGATGCTGGATTCTCAACCACTGGCTGAACCTGCTTTTTTTAAGGAACAATTGCCCTCTTGATGTTTATAGACACCATCAGGCATGACAGACACCATCTGGGCAGGGCTAATAAGCCGTAGTTTTCAGCTTATATTTCAGTGTGTTTCATGTTGTTTAGGTTGATTGTAAAAACAGTCAAACCTTGTAGCAAGTGTGAAAAATAAAGAAAAGAAAATGGGCCTAGTGCTCACACCTGTAATCCTGGCACTTTGGGAGGTGGAGGTGGGAGGATCACTTGAGCCCAGGAGTTTGAGATCGGCAACAGAGAGACCCTATCTTTACAAATAATAGTAATTATAAATATCCCAGCGTAGTGGCATGTGCTTGTGGTCCCAGCTACTGGGGGTGGGGTGGCAGGGAGGTGGCAGGGGTGGCAGGAGGCCGGGGGGATCGCTGGAGCCTGGGAGGTCAAGGCTGTAATGAGCTGTGATTGTGCCACTGCACTCTAGCCTGGGTGACAGAGCGAGACCATGTCTCACAAAAATGAAGGAAAATGACTCATAATCCCATCCCCTCTCTCCAACCACTGGTACCATTTGGGGGCATTTTCTCCCAGTGTCCTTTATGAGCTTATTTCCATACAGCCATAGTTTTGTTCCTTTGTACCTTATATGCAAAGGGTGTATACAAGAACCAAAGTTTGTCAAAAGTCATCTTTGTGGTGCTGCGTATGATGGCCAGGTTACTTTTCCTGCATTTGGGCACTGAAGGTGTTCTTGTTTTTTTTGTTTGTCTTCTTTTGTTTTTTTGGGACAGGGTTTCACTGTTGCCCAGGCTGGAGTGCAGTGGCGCGATCTCGGCTCACTACAACCTCCGCCTCCCAGGTTCAAGTGATCCTCCTGCCTCAATCTCCCAAGTAACTGGGACTACAGGTGTGCACCACCACGCCCAGCTAGTTTTGTATTTTCAGTAGAGATGGGGTTTCACCATGTTGGCCAGGCTGGTCTCAAACTCCTGACCTCAAATGATCCACCCACCTCTGCCTCCCAAATCGCTGAGATTACAAGCATGAGCCACTGTGCCTGGCCATTGTTCTTGGTTTACCAACGTGGAATCACACTAGAACATCTTCCATAGCTTGAATTGTTTCCCCAGGAGGATGGCGTTCCAGCGATGAAGCTGAGAGAGGCTGAGAGGTGGGGGCTGAATGTCTTCTCCTGGACAGAGCCAAGGGGCTGGATGGAAAGCAGCAGGGTCTTAAAACAACTATTTGTTTTAAAATACATAACGAATGGATGTCTTTTTATCATAAAAGATTCATGCAAAACAGAAATATGGAATAAGAAGCAAATGCCCCCTTCATATGCCTCTCAGACTCCTTTCCTTCCTTCCAGACTGTGACTTCCTTCCTGTGAATCATCCGCAATTGCCAATATTGAAGAAGTTTTGATTTACAAAAAAGGCGATTTCATATGGTTCAACCTGATACATGTGTGTATGTGTATATATATATTTAACCGAAATGCTATTATATTCTATGTGTTATTCTGAGACTTGCTTTCCATAACAGTATGTACAGGTCTACGTTTATGTTTTCTAATGAGTGGCATGAGGTCTGCTAAATTATTTTATGGCCCTAGTTGAAGGACATTAAGATTATTTCTTATTCTGTTTTGTTTTTGTTTTTGTTCTTGTTTTGAGACAGAGTCTCACTCTGTTGCCCAGACTGGAGTGCAGTGGCACAATCTCAGCTCACTGCAACCTTCGCCTCCTGGGTTCAAGCGATTCTTGTGCCTCAGCCACCTGAGTAGCTGGGATTACAGGTGTGCACCATA